TAAGTTAGTTCAAAAATCAGAAATCTCACACTCCTTACCTCCTGCATTTTGTAATAATTTGTTTCCTGAGACATTTTCATTTTTATATTTTTATTCATGAATTCGTAATTGGCGTGTTCCACCATCAGTGTGCAATACGCGCGTGACGTCTATGTGTCTTGCGGAAGAACACTGTTGCCGGAGCTACTTCTCTCCATAATGTCTATGGCGAGTCACGCAGTCACTGGGCAACTTCGCATCCGAGTCAACCCCGGGAATCCGGGATAAAAAAATAGTCCGAATATAAACACTTTTAACAGGCGTACTGTAGTGATTCAGGATAAGTCAAAAACACGGTTTGGAAAATGGATTCATGATGTAACGCCTACTCGTTCGTTTTGAACATAAGTTACGGACTGCAGTCTGCAGCAGCTGATACAACGGTCGGTCTTCTTTTGCGCGAGCGTCCACTCGTATATATGCGACGCGACCACATCACATACAATTTTAACTCGCACAATCAAATTCTCAAAAAAATGGTCGCATATGAGACCAATTTGGTCGCAGTCTGGAACCCTGCATTAGCAGCAGCTGTCTGGAGTTGACTAAGTTACGTTAACTTTAATTGGATGTAACGTTAGGTGCATATAGCAAACTCAGTTCACCTTTTGGGAAGAAAGCAGTCATCAGCTGCTTCCCCGCATTCTGCCTCCCATCTTTTTCTTTCATCTCTTTTTTTTAAAGCCCGATTTGGGCTTTTTGCACAGCATGATCAGATCAGGCTCCCGTTACAGGCTCTAGTCTAGACTCACTGCGTTATTACTTGTTTGCCGCCCGCTGCGTCTATGGGCGGTCGACGCGTTGCGGACTAAACCATTTGGAAGGGGGTCCAGAGTGTCTGGCACAGTGGCACTGAGTTCATTTTGGTCAATATTTTTTTTAAATTATTATTAATGACATCAATTGGAGGGCCCAATTAATTCTAATTAGGTTTTAAAAAAAAAATTTTTTAAATTGGTGGGATTTCAAAGGGCCCTCTCCCTAGACGGGGCCCTGGGTAGTCAGGTCCACTTTTCCCCCCACTACCACGCCCCTGCACGCTGTAAACAAACAATCTTCGCAAACATGTCTAAGGATTTCGACATAGAGGAAGACTTGCATTTTTGACTTGCAATGCTGAATAAAGTTGTAGTTTTTGTTATTTTTGGACCAAACTGTTTTTAAACTAACCCACTGATGTCACATGGACTACTTTGATGATGTCTTTATTTCCTTTCTGGACAAGGACAGTATTCCGTACATTTTCAGTGGAGGGACAGAAATCTCTCGGACTAAATCTAAAATATCTTAAACTGTGTTCCGAAGATGAACGGGGGTCTAACGGGCATGTAATGACATAATTTTATGACATAAATGACATTTAATGATATAAAGGTTTTGGGTGAACTAACCCTTTAAATGCCAAGGTCTGAATCAGAGCACCAAACTTGTCATATGCTCGGTTTTCACTAATCTCCTTCTAGACTGTAAAGATTATTGGGGTATGTTTTGCAAGAAAATACTATTATAGTCTTTCTACTTCAAAATGTTACATTTAATTTAATTTTACCTGTCATTTCTTTGTAAATATTTGGGCTATTTACAAATAAGTAAATCCTACAACAGATGCTTTTCAGTGAACTTGACTTTAATCGTTAATCTGACTCATTTCTACATTTCTAATGCTACCGTCTCAAAATTATCACCTAAACCCATGAATGTTCATTGTCCACAAAACAGTTGTTAGTTGCAAACTCTAGTTTAAAGTTATTCAGTCTTTCTAAAACTGGCAATAAAGTAAAGTCACATTCAGGACAGATTCTGGTATGAAACACCAACTTTAAACAAAACAGTGAGAGTAAAATGGGTTGTGATGCCATTTCTGTTTACACTAGTGTCCAGTTCTACTGAATCTGTAAATTTCAGTGGAAACTATCAATATTTCATGAACTAGTCTTTGGCATCTGATTTCCTATCATCATGCAGGCAGATAAATGGCCAGCAAACTCGCCTCATGTTCTCTCCTCTTCAGAAGATGAATACCTCATGATATTTAACATGACATTCAATACAAGGAGAAAGAAAAATATATTTCTGCCTGTGGCTGGCTAGAAAATCAGGCCGATTTTAAAGAGCTTTAGGACACAATATAACACAATAACCATACACTGGTTTCTTTGAATAATCATACAAATCTAATCTAAAGAACAAGAAACCAAAAAGAAAAGTTAAGACTTACTCGAGTTACATCAAACAGCACAAGTTTATTTCCCCTAATAAATCATTCCTAAGAAATTAGCTATCATACATTAAACTTGCCCGTCTCAACTATGTAGATAAATGAATTGAAATTAATTTACACTATTTACATAAGGTTTCCATTTATATGGAAATGATTTCAGATATTTTCAGACCCACCAACAATTTTGTAGAAGCATCCACTGCCCAGTAAATCTATTTGATCTTCAAAATCATTCCTGGATGTTGCTGAACATCAGAAGAACAATAATCCTTTAAATTCATAAAATCATTACAAACTTCCACTGACAAAAGGAAATGAAAAGCCATCCAGCCCAACTCTTCTCATCTTGTAGGTGGTGATGAATGGGGGAGAGGGCTTTTTGAAAGTGAAAGGCTGGAAAGTAATAGATATATATTCAAGATCATCAAGTTATTTTTTTTAGAGACTAAAGGAGTGCCTGACCTGACCACAGAGCAACAAAACAAACAAAACATAAAACATACTAAATAGTAAAACTCAACAGCTTTATTGTTATATTGACATAAATATATATATATATATATATATATATATATATATATACATATATATTTGTGCTGATCACTAACGACGATTAAAATATTTCAAACGATTTGAATATCAAACTATCAAAAGATTAAAATATTTATCGTGATTAATCGCATTAATGTCATAGTTAACTCGCGATTAATCGCACATTTTTATCTATTCTAAATGTCACTTGATTTCTTTTTGTCTCATTTTTTTTCTCATTTTAATGCTCTTATCAACCTTTGCTTTGTGCAAAGTTTTTTTATTTATTTATTGAAAACAACATGGGCATATACAATTTCATACTAACATTCTCATTTGGAGCAAATAATCTCTCAATGTAACACTGTCCATCAATAAAAGGGTGAAAGAAATACTGACAAGGTCCTGATATTGACGAGGGGGCGGAGATTTTGCATCATCTGTGTGTGTGTGTGTGTGCTTGACCATCATCAAGTGGTGTTTCAGACGGGATGTGCTGTGATGATGATAGCTCAGTTCAAAACAACAAAACACACAGATCACTGCAGTCTTGTCAATGGAACCATTTGGCAACTTTTTAAACGTAAACTTTCCATTCAGAATCTTATTGGCATCCATTTCAGCGTCTCATGCTCGTCATCCACTCAAAACGTAAGGTTAGCCTACTATTTGGCCAGCTTGCAAGCCCAAACATGCGTGTGCGATGTGCCTGTTGTTTTGTTTCCGGTCTAGCTAGATCCGCTTGCGCTTTGGTTGACAAAGCAACAAAACGTCCTCGCGCAGCGCAAGCCATTGAAATGAATGGGTTCGCCGCATCCTGTTGCAAAAGCATGTGAACAAGCAAATTTCCTCCCTGAATCGTCGCGCTTATTCATTTGAGCACTCAAAGCACACCAAACCAACAATTGCTAAAAACACACGGGCACACAGGCATGATTAGCGCAGGACCAGAGACAGAGGGACGAAGAAAGCAAATTTCCTCCCTGAATCATCACGCTTATTCATTTGAGCACTCAAAACACACCAAACCAACAATTGCTAAAACACATGGACACACAGGAATTATTTTGCACGGGCATTTTGCACTGAGTAAGCGCAGTGCCGAATTTGAAGTTCTTTGGATTAGAAATTCAAAAGATATTGCTAAATAATTTGCTAAAAGAAGCACACATTGGCTTTTGCCACTCTAGCTGCTGGCCACTCCCCCTCTCACACTGCAAACTGAGTGAGCACAGCGCAGGACCAGAGACATAGGGACGAATAAAGCAAATTTCCTCCCTGAATCGTCACACTTATTCATTTGAGCACTCAAACACACCAAACCAACAATTGCTAAAAACGCACAGGCACACGGGCATGATTAGCACAGGACCAGAGACAGAGGGACGAAGAAAGCAAATTTCCTCCCTGAATCATCACGCTTATTCATTTGAGCACTCATAACACACCAAACCAACAATTGCTAAAAACACACGGGCACACAGGCATTATTTTGCATGGGCATTTTGCACTAGTATATATAAATATCAACATCCTGATTTATCTATCAAGCACTATCTATCTATCTTTCTATCTATCTGTAAATTACAGGAACGTCTGTCTGTGTGTGTGTGTGTGTGTGTGTGTGTGTGTTAGTCTGATGGATTTCAGACTTGACGGGTGTCTTGCTACGGGTGCAGTGCCGAGTTTGACGTTGTTTGGATTAGCTACGCACAAATAAAAATGTCACTGTGTGTCTGTGTGTGTGTGTGTGTCTGTCTGTTAATCGCATATCTCTCGAACCGTTAGTCAGATGGATCTCAAACTTGACAGGTGTCTTGCTACGGGCACGAGCAAGTGCAGTGCCGAGTTTAACATTGTAAGATATCGCTAAATATATCACTAAAAGAAACACACATTGGCTTTTGCCGCTCTAGCCACTGGCCACTCCCCCTCTCACGCGCAGGACCAGAGACAGTCAGAGGGACGAAGAAAGCAGATTTGCTCCCTGAATCGTCGCACTTAATCATTTGAGCACTCAAACACACCAAACCAACAATTGCTAAAAACACACGGCCATTATTTTGCACGGGCATTTTGCACTAGTATATATAAACATCAACATCATGACTTTCTATAAAGCGGGTTTGAAGTAATGTGAACAGCTCTAAACAAATAAATTTGACTTGACATTATAACATCTAGAAAACCAAACCAAAACATAATTTACCTTTGGGATGCCAGGGGTCTGTAAATTCATATTTCCCTGGTCCGACCGTTCTCAGCATCTGCAGGCCATTGTTGGTATTCTCCTGCTGGCCATTCGTCAGAGGTCCGTTGGTGGGCAGTGTGGAGGAGGTCATGGCAGCAGATTGCACCATGGGGTGGGTCAGGTGACCGTTGCCCATCACCGTGTGGACCGTATGGGCGACCTGGCAGACGCTGGGCATTGGGGGCAGGCCGCCGACAGCAAGGGATTGGCTATGGACGTTGAGGACCATGCTGGCCATCGGCTGTGAAGGCTGCTGAGGGAGCTGGTAGAGTGCGGGTAACTGAGGGTGAGGAGTGTGGAGCGCTGGGGTCACGCCGATAATGGGCGCTTGGACAGTCGCACATTGACTGTAAGCTGGTGCCTGCTGCAGGGCGTACGTGTGCGCCAAGAGTCCAGCCTGGCTGACAGTGGCAGCAACTTGCGGTGGCCATAGAGGCGCTGAAGAGAACGAAACAACATGCTTTTAAAGGTCGGGTGTGTGCGATATGACATGTTAGATTGTGAAACATAAAAATGTCGCCATGATCTATCAGTTGCAGTATAATTGCTGTTTTTTTTTTATTGTTATCAGTTTTTGATTTTCATCTCTATCGTGGTTAAGTTCAAGTAACATAGCAGTTATTAGTCTGCATGAAGGTTTACTATTTGTAGGTGTTTTAAAGTCCCACTGTAGTCAATAATTGTATCCCTTAAAAATCATCTTTGATCACCAAAATGACATTTAATATGTATATACAGTACATAATGCACACATCTGTACATATGTTTTCTACTCCATAAGTACACCACTTTATTATTACTATTTTATTTTATTTATTAGTCTGTTCAACATTAGTTATCGTATTAACTAACATGAACTAAAAATGAGCAATGCATTTGTTACAGTATTTATTAATCTTTGTTAATGTGGGTTAAAAAAACACAGCTGTTTATTGTTTGTCCATGTTAGTTCACAGTGTATTAACTAATGGTAACTAGTACAATTTTAATAACGTATTAGTAAATGTTGAAATTCATATTAACTAAGATTAATAAATGCTCAAGTTTATTCTTAGTTCATGTTAACTAAATGATCCTTATTGTAAAGTGTTACCAATGTTCTTTGTGTCATATATGAATGTATGTATGTACCAAGAGCTCCTGGAGAAAAAAAAAAAATTCCTAGTGTTAGCGCACACTTGGTGAATAAAGCTTATTCTGTCTCTGAAAAACTAACCTGCAAAAAAATGGATTTGTGGATCTTGCCTGAAAAAAAAAAATCATATTTTTGCCATATCACTCACCCCTCCCTTTGAAGCCACTTCTAGCAATCAATCTATCCATGCATGAAAAGACAATGAACAAGAGGTGTTATTGTAGAGCTGATGCCTTTGCTTTCAGCTTTTTACCTGCGATATCTTTCTCCCTCATCTGTTTTGCAGGCGGCTCGTCCGTGTCCCAGGGCGTGGACTGGTTAATGGGTGTTTGTCCCCACAGGACGCTATTAGCCAGGACCTGGCCCTGATTCTGTGTGTCTGCCAACGGGTGCCCAGAGACCTGTTTCAACGAGAAGAACGTCTTGGGTAAACAGAAAAGCCTTTAATTACTATGTCTACGTTTCCAATTACAGCCCATTTGCAAGACACTGGTACATCATTTTGCTTTGTTAATATTCCATTCCATTCGCTCTTTTAATTACGCCGCTGTTCTAGATTAGAGCCATCAATAATGCAGGAAAATCCAAGGTCGGCCCCCAGCAATTTGACTGGGTGCAAGAAAGTGAGATCTATATAGAGAACATTTTACTAATTAATTCTTATCTGCCTTGCATTGACTGTAAATCAAAGGGAAGGTAAGAAGTTTTGTGGGATCGAGGGGGACTTTTAATCACTTTTCTGAAAATAGGTACAAAAGTTTAATGGAAATGGACATGCAAAACTATCACACACACACACACACACACCCACATATATATATATATATATATATATATATATATATATATATATATATATATATATATAAAACATTAAAACATTAAAAATAGACTGTTTTGCACACTTTGTATGTGCCAGGAACTAGACACTTTTTTTGTGGAACAGAGTCTTTAATTCATATTTATCTTTTGTGTCTTTAAAGGATTGATCTTATTATGCCACTGTCAGAACTCGCTTTTCCAAGTTGGAGAAAAGAAAAATTGGCTGAAAAGTATTTTTTTGATTTTATGCCACTTTTTATTTCATGTGCATTTCAAAACAGTAAATAAAAAGAAAGCATAAAAAGATGTCTCCTTAGCGTCAAGTGTGGGCGTTGAATTTGTCAATGTGTTTTTCATTGCCAAGACTGAAAAAAAAAAAAAAACATTTCTTTAAAATGTAAATGTATTTAGAGAATTCTTCAACAGAGCAAGACTAAATTATCCACATTCCTCATGCCATTGCTTAAATGTTTTAAATTCCATCCACAGTTCAGCAAACAAAATGAGCAAAAGTATACATCACTTTAAACTCTAAACAGGGCAGGCATAAGAGCACATACTGCACATGTCTGTGACAGTACAAACCTAAAGTGTTTGTTATAGCTGCGTTTTCACATGTCTGGTTTTAATTTTAACTTTTCTTTAATTAGCATTTATTCAATGCCTTATAAAATTGCATTTATGATGAGAAAACAAACAAACAAATAAACATGCAAGGACTTTGAATTTTATAAATAAAGGAATTCCAGCTCTTTCTGTGGAATTCAGATGGTAGATGCTATGCAAGCTAGCCCTGAAAACAAATCATTTCAATGCCTTTACAAAGAAGCAAATAAATCTCTCAAACACTCAAACAAGCTGTTTAAGAGTAGGTGCGCAGGACAAATGATGTGAGATGAAAAAGTTCCTGCAAACCACTTTAACACACACACACACACACACACACACACACACAAAAACTTCAGCAATGGTCACACACTGCAGTATTAATATGTTAGTATTCTTTGTCAGATGAATGCCATTATAAAAAAAAATAATAATTCAAGCATGTGAAGAAAGCAGAAATCTAAAACATCCCCTATCGGCTGTTCTTTCTCAGAATAGAGATGCACGTCCGTATCACTGACAGGAGAGCTAGCAGTAATGAAATTCCCCTGCATTCACTAAAACTTGTCAAAAGTTGCATCTGGAATATTCCACGTGAGAACACTGAATAAATATAGCATCATGGGGCTGAAGTATGTCGAGTCTATTTTCTCATTATTTGGACTGTTGAGTCTCATGACTAGTGATAAGAGAAAACTGTAATTTATGTATGTATGTATGTATGTATGTATGGATGGATGGATGTATGTATGGATGTATGGATGTATGGATGTATGTATGGATGTATGGATGGATGTATGGATGTATGGGTGGATGTATGTATGGCTGTATGGATGTATGTATGTATGTATTTATGTATGGATGGATGGATGGATGTACGGATGTATGGACGGATGGATGGACGGATGAATTTTATTTACATAAATCCACCTATTTTTTGATGGATGGATGGATTTTTCTTTTGCATAAATCCACCCATTTTTTGGAAGCATGGATGGATGGATTTTTTTTACATAAATCCACCCATTTTTTGGATGGATGGATGGATTTTTTTTTACATAAATCCACCCATTTTTTGGATGGATGGATGGATGGATGGATTTTTTTTACATGAATCCACCCATTTTTTGGATGGATGGATGGATTTTTCTTTTACATAAATCCACCGATTTTTTGGATGGATGGATTTTTTCACATAAATTCACCCATTTTTTTAATAAAATGTTTGTATTATCTGCAATGTGGCTGAAAGAATGGGAGATTTGTCACGTATGCACCTAATATTGTTTGTGATACTGCAAAGCTTATATAATGAGCACTATGATGAAGACAGCAGAAAATGTAAGCACATCATTTACTTTCTAATATCACTGGATGAATCATCCCCCAAAATACACCCATGTAGCAGTCGGCTTCAGCGTGTCACGTTAAACCAGAGTTTATTTTGTGACAAGCTCATAATCCCTTACGTTAACCCCAAAATGACATACTTGACCCACTTCACTGATGGTGAACAGCCACACACTAATAGAGTCACCACAGCCGTGTGTGAAAGAGTATCAGTCTAGATCACTCTGTTGTCAAAACATTACCTGTGGAATAAATAAAACTGGCATTACCAATTATAACATCCCAATTGTGCGACATCAAATACCTGTGGTCTAACACACCTCTTTGCAATTTAAATGCAGACAACACAGCACTCGTGTAATGATTAAGTACGAATGAGTCCGGAAACAGCTTTTCGTTCTGTCCCCAGGCAAGAGCGACACTTTATAACTTTACAGGAAGTAGGTGGTTCATTTACTGAAAGTGACCCGCAGAAGTTTTCAAACCACACCAAGCGAGCAAGTGGAATTAGAATAGAAATGGCTGTGGAGCTCACATGTGCTCATTTGCAGCCATCCTGCATGCGTTTAAAAAGAGCTTTCCCTGTGCCTGTAGGGCAAGCCAAATGGCAAATATTACATTTCTGGGTTCTTATTAGCTGACTTACTAAAATACTTCCATTTCTGTAGTGGTTTGTGCACGAAGAGTATCCGCAAGGAAATGCTGAATGCGACATCTCATTTCCAAGGTCAGAATTTTAGAATACACTACCAGAATTAAAAAAAAAAAAAAAAAAAAAGATAAAGCTGATCATTTCAGCCACTTGCAGAAATTGACAAGATGGAATGCATAAGCAGCTGTACATATACTGTACTGCTGGTCACAAGTTTGGGGTCATTAAACTTTTTTTTTTTTTGGGGGGGGGGGTTAACACTTTTATTCAGCAAGGATACATTCAATTGATCAAAAGCGACGATAAACACATTTATAATGTTACAAACTATTCATATTTCAATTAAACTCTGTTCTTTGGAACGTTCTGTTCATCAATGAATCCTTGAAAAAATGAATCAGGGTTTCAACACACACACACACACAAAACTAATTCAGCAGCACAACTGTCAATATTTTTCAACATTGCTAATAATAATAAATGTTACTTGAGAAGCAAATCAGCATATCAGAAAGATTTTTGAATGATAATGTGACACTGGAGTAATGATGCTGAAAATTCAGCTTTGTATCACAGGAGCAAATTACATTTTACAATGCATTCAAATAGAAAAAAAAACGTATTTTAAATTGTAATAATATTTCACAATATTACAGTTTGTACTGTATTTTTGATCAAATAAACGCAGTCTTGAGAAGCAGAATCGACTTCAAAAACATTTAAAAAAAAAGCTTATTAACACTAAACTTGGAACAGTAAACTTGAAACTTTTGAACAGTAGTTTAATCTAAATAAAAAATAAATACATAACAGGGCAGGGATGATTTTTTTTTTTTCCTTTGAAAACTGACTGGATTGTGAAAAGTGGATGTTGCATTGCAGAACGCAGCCAGCAAATTGTAGGCTAAGGTTGAAAATGGGATTTTATAATCTGTGTCATGTGAAAACGTTAGGAAGCCGTATCTTCCGAGCGAGGTCTCTATAAATGGCAAGTGTTCGTAACTGTCAAACAATGACAGCATGCTTCTGCTCACCCTCCATCCGGTGGTGTACGCACAGGATCACTTCCCGCAGTCAAATAAGCCGTCTCCATTTGAGCGGATGGCTGTCCTCCACAATCCTAATCCGCCAGGCGTTGGGCAGCATCGCTCTCCGCCTCTCACAAAGCCAAATACAGCATCCACACTGTCATGCTCTTATTTGCTATTCCTATCTCAGCTGTCAACACTGAAGGCTCTTCCTCACCCGGCAGAAGCGTTCGCTCCCACGGCGCCAGGAACCGATGATCCATCATTTGTCAGGACCGTCGATTTGTGAAGTAAGTTTGCTATTCCTTGCAGCTTGCGGCATCTTTAAAAACATCCTCAGAGACGGGAATCTTCGGTGGCCTCCCGCTGATAGGAACAGAAGTGATTTTTTTTAAAGAATGAACATCTTTCTCTTGTTGATGGTTCAAAGGAGGAACTGTTGGCCTTTAGTTTGGGCCTTTGGCCTCGAAGAAGCAGCCTGGGAAAAGATTCAGGCTGGAGTGGCTTTACATTGAGATGAATTCTGTGTGTGTGCGGCTGCAGATGATTTTCAACAGCAAGGAGAAATGGCCTTTAAAAGGGTCAAAGCTCTTCAGACCTGTGAACGACACCTTTATATCTATGGATGACAGGTAGAAATACACAGGTCTTAAGGTCAAGTTCTCTGGGTGTCCATGTCTGGGTTTATCCAGAACAAAGCAGGGCTGAGTTAGATTCAGAACTGAAATGAGAATGCCTTCAATTCAATACTAGAACTGTTGAATTGAAGCAACAAAATGAGGGCAAAATTTGTAAATGTATACAGTATACAACAAATATGTTTTCATTGTTCATCGCTGCTCATTTTCACCAACACAAAATGAATGGAGAAAATGCACCAAATCAAATGCTTCAATCAAACAGAGGGCCCTATCTTGCACCCAGCGCAAAAAGGAAGCGTGTT